AGCCGCCTCTTGATTTTCATCTCTATTTGATGTAACTGCCACGACCGACTTTCTATTAACCTCGGCATTGATCAAGTGATTTTCTTCGTATTTTTGTTGAGCAAACGCGAGGTGTTACTATTCTTTGTTCACGATTAAGCTGACGTTTCGGCGAATTTCGCCTTCTTCAGAGCCGCTTTCTATGAGGCTTCCACTAAGTATGTCACGCAGAGACCAACCGCACAGAAATCACGTGGAAGTATAATGAAAGTATATAATTATATTTATATTATATTATATGTATTATATTATTTGTATTATATTTATAAGTATATATAGTATATAATTATACTTCCACGTGATTTCTGTGCGGTTGGTCTCTGCGTGACATACTTAGTGGAAGCCTCATAGAAAGCGGCTCTGAAGAAGGCGAAATTCGCCGAAACGTCAGCTTAATCGTGAACAAAGAATAGTAACACCTCGCGTTTGCTCAACAAAAATACGAAGAAAATCTATTTGATGTCCCTTCTTTATTTATATGATGTTTTGCGAAAACCCAAATGCTTCTAGTACGTCTACGTAACGCGTCTCCAAACAAACGTACGTGATGGAGTTCTTCGATGTTACTGCGCTTTACACCAACGGATCGAATGACTCCGCAATGCAAGCCATCTTCGAACTTCTTGTTGAACATGAAAGAAGAATAAATATGCATGGTCTATTCATCTAGAAGCTTATGACTCTCTTAATGAAGTGCTTAAACTGCTCGATTAGCAGATGGTCTAGAAAATATTTCGTGCAAATAAGGGGGTTGGCAATGGGACAGCGACTGGCACCAAGCCTTGCCATTGCGTTTGTCTAAAGTAGACACACACAAGGAGAGCGCTTGTGAGAAATATGTTTCGAACAGCCACGTCTGTGTGCACAAGTAGTAAACTAAAAGGAGAATCGTGCGACTTGGCTCGGCAAATAGCCATCTCCAATGGCTATGAAATAGTAACCCCACGAGATAAGTTTAGAAGAAGGGGGATGCCCCAGAAGAACGGTTAGCCGGAACAAAATCGCGTTTATCTTACCCTTCATTAGCGAAGAAGTGAGTGAAGCGACAAAGCCAAGCTTATGAAGGGCAGATCTAGAGGAATCGGCAGCGATAACTGAAGTACCACCGAATACCCTTCGTCGTCAGTTAGTCAGTCAATCGCCTATATGACCGTCTATGTGAAACACAAAATTGCGTAGTTCGCCCTTACGGCAGAGACGGTGATCGCATGAGTTCAGGTACGATATACCTGATCTCTTGTAATAATTGCGGAGATGAATATATTGGCGAAACGGGCAGGTCGTTATGTATCCGTATAATAAAGCAACTAGATGGTAAAGAAAAAGTAAGACAAGGTGCACCACTAGGGGCTCATAGGATACAAATGCATAGCGAAGACGATTTTGATACAAAAGTCGCAATCCTCGCACATGATTCCAAAACCCCAAAGCACAAACTTCTCGAGGCCTTTTGGATAAATGCTAAGAACCCGACAATGAGCAGCAGGGAAAAATGCCCATAGGTGATCTGGCCTTTTATCTCAGAATTCGTTTTTCATGAGACGTGGTGTAGTCATCAACCAATATGCGACTCTAAGTGGCTGTTCTTCCTAGGCGGAAAACAGGTAAGAAACGGTGAGATTTTCCAACAGCTGCAGATTACCGTTCAGGTTTTCATCTTTCTCTCTCGGTTCAAGGAAAGTCGGTTTCGAAATATTACTACGCTTTGTGCTAGCTGATAAAAACACCGACTTCTGCACGATGTGCGCAATGATGTATGTCCGGAAGAAATACGAGTTGTTACCACCGGACATTATCATCATATCCACCATCAGCATCGTGTATAAAAGGGCATCACTGAGTGAGGATGCCTCATTCGAGAAGATGGCTCACTGAGGAAGACCTGACTCGACACCAAGGCGAAGATGCAACGTCGAGACGAACAACAAGCATGGACCATCGACTCGGATCATCGGCTCTGAGGAAGACGAAGGCGTTGAAACGTTAGCCGGAAATAAACATCATTATCAACCTCGTGTAAGCTCATCAAAGAAAGAGTACATATTGATTAGTGATACCGAGGTTCGAGGAAAGTCGGTTTCGAAATATTTCATCTTTCTGTTTGTGCTGTTGTAGTGTTTGACCTAGTAAATTACACACCATTATACCCTTCCCGGCTTTGAAGAAGGCGATACTGCCGAAACGTCAGCCACCGTAGTGTTGTATATGTTGTTTTTGTAAGGAAGTAAACGTGTGCTGAATAACAATCTTGCGATTATGTTTGTTGCAGTAAGAACTGTCAAATAAGATAAATGCAGAACGAGATAAAGATGTGAAATGAGTGGAAAAGATCAGTGATACTCACTTTGTCGTTGATATAACAACTTTTTTTTCCGTATTCTCTTCGATAAGATAGCGAATCGTCTACTGTGCTTGAATAAAATGTGTAAGTAGAACTTTTTATTTACTGCGTACTATTTTTTATGCCAGGGTATTGTGTAAAATGTAACCACAATGGTGCTGAAGTATTTACAAAACTCAAACGCCAGGTCAGGTTCGAACCCACGATTACCCTTTAGCAACACTAGGGTAAAAACTGACCGAGGCAACGCAGAGTGAGTGCCTCAGTGGTGCAGTGTGTAAAAAGTGAACAGCCGTGGTTCCAAATATTTCAGCATTGTTGTGGTTGCGTAAGCAGATTTCACAAAGATCTTAGTTTACGGAAGATTTCAGTCGTCTGTATATCTTTCCGACCTCAGAGTGATAGTGACTTAAATTTCTGACGTAATGCCTGGCCCACTCTATTCGTGTGTTCTCTACCGAAAGTCCTTACAGAAATTCTTGAATTCTTCGAGATGATCAGAAATTATGATAATGATAGGTGTCCGAATGTCGTCTGCCTCGTACTTATTGCGGTCATAATGGTTGTCAAATTCCCCGAACTAAGTCGTTTTAGCGCAGCATTCTGGGCTTTCCAAGGGAATGCAGATAATTTCCATGGACGACGAAACTCGAATGAATTTTGATCGATGTTATATGAATAGGAGCAGTCCATTGTTTTAATGAGTGCTACGCAATTCAGTCAACGTGCAAGCACGTCATCGTAGTTGAACAGTTCCGCAGAAAAGTGATCATACATGGTAGTTACCTAGAGTTGTGATTGGGTTCATTTCTGGATAACCACTGAAAATGAAGAAAAAAACCATGCAGGTTTAACTCCCGTTGGCTCTAGTCAGCAATGGTTGTCGTCTACTCTTTGTCAGTAGGATAGCTCATATTTCCTATTCACTTGCATCTCTAATCTTTAATCATCAGCTAACGTTGACAATTCAGGCTAATAAAAATAAATGAAGGATAAAGCTTTCGGGATTGATCAATCCCTGCGGGATGCGCCGACTTCATTAAGCATCGTTTGGAGGTGACTGAATGCATGCCTGGCCTTTATAATGACTCGCGGTGGCCTGCTGATGTATCGAGCCAGTGCTGCTATCCTCCCAGACAAGTTTGCCACCAATTTGCGGACCCCGGAAGGATGGAAGGCTTGGTGGGCCATGGGCGCGGAGATTGATTCCACCTGTGTGTTGCAGGGCTCCTCCGACCACTGCGCCACACACCCCCTAACAATTTGGGTTACCTATCTCATTTATACAAAACAAGTTGCAAAACGCTAAGTGATCCTTCACTCTACTTGTGGCGCCCTGGTTTCTGAGAACACCATCGTTGTTGTTGTGACCCCATTCCCCATGCTATTCATTTCACCGCACTTGCATTTGTAGCTAAACCATTTATGATGCTGACCTGTTGACCCAGATGCACATAGTTGGAGTAATCGGAGGCATTCTTTCCGTTCAGCATTAATAAACGAAACGAAGACGCTTCTTACTAGCGTCGTTCCCTGAAAGTTCGAAAGTAGGTCGTTTTCTCTACAAATCCAAAACATTTTCTCGGTGTCATCTCTCACTAGTGTTGTGAAAACTTTGTGCCGTATAACACCATACTTGAATTAATGAAATAAATTTGTTGAAACTGCTGTTTCCACATCTCGATTAAAAGCATAAAAACTTGTCAAAATTACTTTGTGTTATGATTTACTATGAATATAATTACTTTACTACTACTACTAGTACTCCTACTAATACTATGATTACTTGATTATTTTTTTTTACTTTATGTATTATGATTATGTACTTTATGTATGATTAAGGGCACATGTGGCGCAGTGGTTGGAGGCGCCCTGCAACACACACGTGGAATCGATCTCCGCGCCCATGGCCCACCAAGCCTTCTGTCCCTCCGGGATCGGCAAATTGGTACTAGACTTGTCTGGGAGGATAGCAGCACTGGATCGATACATCGGTAGGCCACCGCGAGTGGCCAGACCAGGTATGCATTCAATCACCTCCAACGATACTTCATGAAGTCGAATGCATGGCGTACCCTCAGGGATTGATCAACGGCGAGAGATTTATCTTTTAAATATTATGATTTATTTAAGTTACTTTATTACCGATGTTTAATGACAGTCGGTTTCAAAAGTATGATGATTTAATTATACAAAGCCAAACTGCATGAAGTGAGATTGCATAGATAAATAATAGTACTCCATTCGAAAAAATTCTTCATAAAAGTTGCTGAGAAATATACAAGAAGTACAAACATTAAAAATTCTGCATTATTTCGGGGACAACTAAGTTACCACTACTTAAGTCGTTTGTGTTCAATGGTTCTCAGTTTCCACTTCACCGCACTGAAAAACCTAGTTGTTGAATACTTCAATGATAGAATACATAGGATTCTAGTGCAGTGACTTGCGGGTCCTTCGTTTCGCTTGTCTCTCAGCCAGTTTTCTATCGACTAGAAACAATATCGTTGCAATAAGAAATATTGTCTTCGAAATTCTCTAATAAGAAATTCGTGTTTGCGAAATAAGTTTATCTGCTTGGAGAGAATGAAAAATTCATTCACCGAACCTTTCAGAAGCAATGGATGCGCTGAAGTGGCATGTGTCCCTTCGACCTGTTGTCGACTTATTCACGCCGATTCTTGGTTGGAGTTTTGGCATCGCCATATTAGTCACGTCAATTATCGGATCGTATATTGTATCACTGTAAGTATATCACGTCATCATCGTAATTTTCTGATATAATTCCGTCACAAAGCTCAATCGCGAAATATTCAGGTTTTTGTTTCTATTGGTGGTGGGTAAACACAACACATGGAGATCGGTGATTGATCGTTGTGTTAGTTTCTGGATGATGGTTCCAATGTTCAGTCTTGAATTGTTGAATTTCTTGACAATATTCTTCTCTTCAGGTAAAGGATTATTGTGAGAACGAATATTAGGTTGAACGTTGCGTTAAAACTCGTCCGAACAATGACGTTGATGCTGCGAAAAGGAAAATGAATAGTGCCACGGATGTTCATCTAGACAGAACGCCCGATTAATTTTTATGTTTTCTTTTTCATGTACCAAAATGTTGCTTGTAATGAACTGCAACGATGGTAGGCGTTAGAATTGTCACAAAATGTCTCGATAAATCCAATTAACTAAAATGTCGTCCATGGATGGAAGGTTCTAAAAAGGTAACCAGCCTTCAGGGCTTTCTGGAGTTGATATTCGAGATGCGAGTACGGGTGTCCGGTGATGAGATTGAGTACGACAAGCCAGCTCTAGTCGTTATGAATCATCGAACGAGGTATGTTTTCTTAGAAAGGCGAGAAATTTTGTCAACACTATATATAACAAATCATAAATTGAGAATATTTTCCGTGTTAGATAGAATCGTTAGAACGGAAGTACTTTTCCAATTCCAAGTATGGAAACCTTGAAAGCAAAAAACTTCGATAACGCGCTTTCGCGCTTTTAGAGCACACTTACTTGATACTTGAATGGCCCGTCCTCACTGGTTGTGCCAATCTTCATTTTTCGGAGATTTACAGGTTAAGCCATTATTGTTCCCTGGAGTCCCGACGTGAGCCAGGTTTTCACCACCACAGACAGTCGCAGCCTTTGTGGATCAGAAGGATATTCACCACTGTGGGACTGTACCAGGACGGTGGTGGATACGTGCATTGGTTTACTCATGGCTAGGCTTCCTGATGAAAACGACGGACTCCTTCGCAGCTTGGGAGACACAGCCAGGGGATGAATCCTCGTTGTACATCGCAGTTCAACACCCAGGAACACCTCCCAGCCACGATGAGACGGAAAACTATTGGAAGGTGAGCACACTTTATGACGCTCAAACATAGTAAAGGAAGCCAAAAGAAACTAGTCGTATTAGAGTACGTATCAGAGTATATATATGCGTGAAAAGGACCGTTGGAGTGATCTTCCACTGTACTTGAAGGACCTTTTCATGTTATGTGCACGACATGCATGTTCATGTTGATTACATTTTACTTTGCACAAAACTAAGACTATGAATGAATCCAATCTCGTCAGATGTTTCGATTTCGCATTCAGAACTTGAAACTTTACGTCGAAATAATACAGGTTTCCAGGTTTTTTTCACAACTTTCTCTCTCATTTTCTCGCACTTTCACCGTGTACGGAAGCGTTGTTAAAAGTGTAAAACCAAATCTCATTCTGCTATTTTGGTATATTAAGATGTAAGAGCTTCCACTAGGAAACGTGCACTATTTCAAATTGTGGGCACGTTATTTTATGAGGCATTAGCGGTATCAGAAAATTTGATGAAACAGGAGAAGCTATTGGAGTATTAATAAAGTGAAAGACAACTCATTTCGTAATGAATGCTTGGCTGGATGGAGAAGCAGTTGTGTTAGGTATAGAACCAACCGTGGAGCTCGTACCTGGGATCTGCCACACATTCAGTCAACACGAGCAACGGCTAAGTGGGGAATTACGTCGAAGCTATAAAAGCGCTGCCACATGCACGACAATGTGTACTGAAAAAGATGTACACCTGCTCAGCGTTCCACAGATGTTGCTCAGCTAGCTTTTCATATTCCATTGATAGCTTCTTTAGCATAAATGTCATGTCACGCGTGACTTGAGAAGCTACTCTATTGGGTACTTACTTGAGTACTCGAATGACCCGTCTTTACTGGTTGTGCGGGCCAGGGCATAATTTGCACTCGTTTCTCTCTCGTGTAACCGTGGTCCATGGTGGTGGTTTGATTCGAATATAGTGACAGCTGACAGTACCTTTTAACACATAAGTTGGAGACGAAGAATGACCAAGTGCTATGATAAGATTCCATGTGAGTTGACTAGAAAGGAAGTCCATAGATGTAAGACAAAGGCCAACGCGTCCTACAATGTTTCAATCGGTGCTTATCGGTTTGGTAAAGTGCAATGATTTAACTTTTATTTTCACGGAATATAACGCCACTAAGAAAAAGTGATGGAGCAGTAAATAAAAGTTAAAACATTGTGGTTTCGACTCCAGTTCCAGCGTAACTGGGTTCGATGCCGATTTGTGCTTCCGATATGATTCCCGTTGACGACTGATTGCAGAAAGTCTCGATAGAGTAAAAGAACTGGTAGAGAGAAAGGAAAAGCAAGGGCCTTGGTTAGTTTGGTGGATATTACATGACTGGTAATCCCAGGTTTAAGGCGCACTTTAGATCCCAAGTTTTGCTTATATCTCATGTCTCTTTCTGGTTGTATTTCAAACAGTGCCTTCCATGAAAATAACAAGTAGTAAATAGAAGTTAGAGCGTTACAATTTGCAATTTCACTTAGATCCAGAACATACAAGAAAAAAAAGGGTAAAGCCGTAGGTGTTGATCATTCCTGAGGGTTGATCACATCGGTGGTACATATATTGCTTGATGTCTATTGAAACGGTAGCTCCTCCGTATAGGTTTAGAGGAAAAAATGCTTCAAAACTACCAATCTAGCAAAAACAAGGGTCTGTTTAACCTGTCTCTTATCTCCAACGAAATAAGCTCAGGTATAAAGCAATGTCTAAAAAGGACCGATAGAGAGAAATCGGTAGAATTATCTGCAATACCACCGAACACCCTAAAAGGTCCGCTAGTTTGTTAGCCCTTGTTTGACAGCCTGTGCACAAGACGAAATTAAATAAGTCGCCCTAACTGCAGAGGTAACGATTTGATGATTTCGAGTAAGGTTTACCTGATTTCTTCTAAAGCGTCTGAGGACGATTACGTTGGCGAAATGGACAGACCACTGTGCATCTGTATAAAAGGCACACATAGTTGGGAAACTTAAAGTCAATCAAAGCACTCCACTGGATACACATAAGACACAAATACATAATGGAGAAAATTTCGAACTAGGAATCACCATCATCGAACAGTAACTTAAAACGTCAACGTGTAAAACTCTTGGAGCGTCTTGGATAAATTTTGAAAATGCAAAGATGGACCTCAGGGCGGAGGAGTGCCTTGGGATCACGCGTGACCTCACGGCACACACAGTGTTGATTTTCGATCTGAATCAAGCATTACCAACTTATGTAAGACTCGGTGAGAATGGTCTCCTTCAGTTACTGGAAGACTCATGAAGAATAAAACAGTGAGTGTTTAAATAAAGTTATTTCCTATATTTCCTATGCGATTCATACTTACGTGTTAAGTTTCTTTTCTTGCCGACATTATGAAAGTGTTTGGCTAGGAAGAGTTTGAATTTGACTTTTCCAGGCTCCTAAGAAGGCGCAAGAGCCGAAACGTTAGTTATTAGTTAGTAAATTTTGTTATTGACGACTTCGGATTTCCTTAAGAAGAAAATATAGATCTACTGAAATATTCTTAACAGTGATGTTCTTTCTATGACAGCTAAATAAACTGCTAAACTGTCCATCACGTTCAGCAGCACATTTACGATCGTGGTGCTCTGTAATAGTCTTGTCAAATGACACACGTTGTTCCAGTTTTTCGAACCAGTGATGCCGCTTTGTTCAACAAAATGAGAATTTGACAGTTTCCAAGCACCCTCATCTGATACTACACAAATTATTCACTGTTTTCTTGATGAGCGGATACGATGTTGTTAAAAACAAGATTTATTTAGCGCAATCCTGGCTGATGTTCCGGCGCTTCCGGTTTCATAGAGCCTGAAGGGTCGAATTGACACGCAATCTGCCTTTTATAATCTCGACGGAAAAACTTGATACTTAAGCTTTTATTCGCACAGTAAACAACCTCTCTTAAACACTCACCATTTTTCATCATCGCTCACCATTGCTAGCTGATAATGCTGCCGACTTCTGCAGGATTGTTTGTCCGGGAAGAACAAGTTACTATCACCGGAAGATCACAACTATCAACCATTAGCAACCTGCATAAAAGGGCATCACCGAGTAAGTGGTTTTATTCGAGAGATGGACCCCTGAGGAAGACACAACTCGACACGAAGGCCTAGACGCCACATCGAGATGAAGAACAACCGTGAACTATCGGTTCGGATCGTCGGCTCTGGTGAAAACGAAGACGTCGAAACGTTAACCGAACAAATACCGTATAGCCACCTCGTATAATCTTATCAAAGAAAGAACACTCATTATTTCTATTTCGAAACCGACTTTCCTTGAACCTCGGTATCACTAATCAATATGTATTTTTTTTGATGAGCTTATTCATTATTTCTTTCTACTTCTGTTCAGCAAACACGAGGTGCTATTTTATTTCTTTATTTAAGTACAGGCTGACGTATCGGCGGATTTCGCCTTCCTCAGAGCCTGGAAAGGTCAAGTTGACAGCAACCTATTCGGCCAAACACTTTCATAACCAAACAGAGAAAACGCTAAATCAAGATTTCAATCATATTTAACACAGCTCCGCACACTCACCGTTTTCTATGAGGTTTCCACTGAGTATGTCGCACGAAGACCAACCGCCCAGAATTCACATGGGAGCGTAATGTGCCTCTCCCATCAGAATAACAGTCTTATATACTGCCCAATATCACGCGTGACAATGAGGCATTCTTCCTTGCGGTTCGTTTTCGGATTCTTGGAATTAATCCAGAATTCCTCTAGAGTTCTGCGCGCCTGTGTTCTCGATTCTTGCGCAAGGATCGTAATCCTTCAAAATCTCCGTTATGTCTCTGCGTCCTATGCGTACCTAGTGGGGTATTTGGCTTACGTTTGCCGACTAGGTGTTCTTTTATACGTACTCAGAGTGGTCTACCCTTTTCGACAACGTGCTCGTCCTCACACGCTTTACAAGAGATTAGATAGACTGTACCCGAACTCATGCAGTCACCGTCTCTACCATTGGGGCAAATTATGCATTTTTGCGTTGCACATAGACGGTCGTATAGGCGATTACGAACTAGCTAGCGTCTTAGATTACTCGGTGGTATTTCGATTATCGTTACCAAATTCTCTAGACCCGCCCTTCTCTTAAGCAGCGTTTTATAGCTGTACTTACATCATTTGAAATGAAGGGTAGGATAAACGGGACCTTTCTATCGCTAAAGTTGTCGTTTGGGGGCCTAGGATTTTCCCTACACCTATCCCGAGCTGCAGTTTTGTAGCCATTAGAAATGGCTATGGCGCTAATTTCCGGGACTCCTCTCTCTGTTCCCTTCCCGTGCACACGTTGGTTGCTGTTCGAAACATGTTTCTTACAAGCGCTTTTCTTGTGTGAGAGGGGTGAGAGGAGAGGTAATGAACCAGGATGTTTTTATTACTTGGCTTTCGGTACCACTTTGTAATTTAGCCATTTTCTGACAGGTAAATTTGGACGTTCAAAAATGGAAGCCATTTTTCTTTCGGCTTCTCCCGGGTGAACTTGATATAATCTAACTGTGCATTTAATAACTCGAAACATTTGTCCATTTCCTCTTGTGTTGAGCAAAGACAAAACAGTCATCTATATATCTACAGTAGAGTAGCGGCCTGAGATCAGTCACCGGTGCTTCCACCTTAGGCGTAAACGCAATGGCAAGGCTTGGTGCCAGTCGTTGTTCCATTGCCAGCCCTCTCATTTGAACGTAGTACTTTCCGAACCATCTGAAGATTGAGCAGCTCAAGCATTCTTTTAAGAGTGCCGTCAAGTGCTCTATCTTGAAACCATACATGTTTATTTGTCCTTCGTGTTGTATAGGGAGTTTGAATATGGCTTGTATTGCGGAGTCATTCGACACGTTCGTTCGCGTTCGTTCATTCGATAAAATTAACATCTCGCGTTTGCTCAACAAGAATACGAGGAATTACTTTATCCAGAACATTCCAAGACTTTTATGCGCTGATTTTCTGGTTCCTCTGCTAGGATAGCGACTTTTATTGAAATGTTTTCCGTTATTGCTTTACCTCTATGCGTGCCTAGTGGAGTGTTTTGCTTAGTTTTAACTTTTGCTACTAGATGCTCTTTTATACAGATGCAGAATGGCCTACCGGTTTTGTCAATGTATTCATCTTCACACGTTTTACTGGAGATAGGGTATAATACAGCTTCGGCACTCATGCAATCACCATCACTGCCATTAGAGGAGATTGTGCAGTTTTGACGGTCATACAGACGGTCACGAACTAGTTTGTGTCCTAGAGTGCTCGGTGGTATTTCAATCACTACTGCCGATTCCTCTAAATCTGACCTTTTAAGCAACGCTTTATAGCTGCGCTTATTTCGTTAGAAATGAAAGGAGAGATGGGGACCGCATTTTCGCTAGACTTATCGTTTACGGGTGTCGTTTTTGAATTAACCTATTCCGAGGCGCTACCATCGTTTTGTAAAAATCAGAAATGGCTGCTTTGCGTGCCAACTTCGGGGATTCCCTTCTGCTCTCTCCCTGTGCGCACACTAGTTCTCAAAAAGCAAGGGGGTTTTACGCACCCTGCTGGTTTTAAACTTTTTCATTGTTATCCTTGATGAGACGTTGGCTGAAATCGAACTTCAAGTCGTCTTGAACTTGTTGACGTAGAGATCATGGACAAGGTGATAGCCCAACAACAAAGAGGGCGCCTTATATACGATGTAGCTCGTTTCTCTAAAATTTTGCTCGAGACTCATGGAACATTGTCTGTTGTTGGTCAAAAAGAAATCCAGGTAATTTTTAAGGCTGCCAGTTTCTCCACCTATTGGTCGACGATGACTTCCAATTTATACAAACGCGAAAACAGTTATACCTTTGACCTCAGCTCGTAGTGAACTATAGAAGGATTAAGGATAACGCATCCGGCGTTGATCAACCTTTGAGGGTTAAGACATGCATTTGATTTTACCAAGCAGCGTTATAGGTGACCAAATGCATATCTGGGCCACATAATTGTTTTCGGTTGCCTACCTATGTATTAGTTTAGTGTTTCTATCCTCACAGGCAAATCTGGTACCAATTTGCCAACCACAAAGGGATGGAAGCCTTAACGAGCGTGACCCGCAGACGTACTCGCGACGGATCCACTAAATATGTATTGTTTTATTGTTTGACGTTCCTAACCCCAGCGCTACACACGCTTTAAAACAGTGGTAACTCATATTTCGATTAGGAAGGGTAGGAAACAGCACGATGCAAAGCGCTTAATATGAAGGACTTTGCGGGTTCCTAACAACAGTATTTTGAAGTATGAATGATAGAAACGTTTAAAAAAGGACCAAACGCATTGAGACCAACCTTAGTTACTCATTTCTAAACTCTTCTTTGTTACCAAAGAAGTCGATATGAAAGTTCCTACTTGTTATCAAATCGATCACATTATAACATTATGAACTGTTACATTGGCATCTGTGAACGGTTTTACTTTTACCGACAATTGCAAATTCTGTAATTTTTGTTACTATAAAGGACATAAGTATTTACGGCATTTGTTGTGGTATTACTATTAATCGTGGAGAAAAACGCATTTAGGTTAGATTGGATGTATATGTGGTCGGCGTTATATCAGATGAATCCGTGGCTTATCGTCTCCAACAAGATCAGTCTTAAAGGAGAGCTGCAAAGTCTCCCTGGAGCAGGTGAGCTCTACTTTGAATTAAGGTGCACGTACTGCTCGAATTGGGTTAACTCATAATCACAATATGGTCGAACTATAGCTGTATAATTAAAATGGGACGAAGTCAAGCATAACGAGATGCTGTGCTGCAAAGGTTTCTTATGAGCATATCTAGGCTTCGGGATGTCCGCAGCACACTTTCTGTTTCTGCAGAGAAATAAGGAAAAAGATGCTGTCACATTCAATGATGTCATTCAATATTTCAGTGCAATAGGAAATAATTATCAGGTATGTAGTTGTAAGATCAACTCAGATTGCAGAAACAAACCTAACCACTGCGAAGTTCAGTGACTTCGATTTGTAGAAAGGGGTTTCGTTGTTGCACTTGTTCCACTTAGTATTGCTAAGTGAGATTAATACACTTAATGAAATGCAGTGATAACTTCCTACTTAGCCACCAAATTGTTTGAGTCAGTGCTCGAAGGAATTCAACTGTTAGAAGAGATTTATGATATCAGTTATTATCTATCACCTAAATGTAATAATTCCCAAGACCGACTTTTTATTAACCTCGTCATTGATCAAATCAAAATCACTTCGAAAACAATGAATTATCACCTAAATTATTTGCTGCATCATTGTTCAAGGAGTAATTCTCCATATTCTTCAACATGCGGTGTACAAACGGAGCTTCCGTAGTCTCAACAGACTCATGCAATAGAAGGGATTCGACACTTCCAGCTCTCGTAGGCCACTGCAAGTAATCGTCGCCACATTAAAAAAATCTCCCTCCTACAAAGTTGGTGACCTCGGAAAACCGTAGACTAGTAGTCTGTGGGAAAGATCCCATGATATTATGGAATGAAAGTTTGCAGCGGACCATCTTGGTACCAGGTTAGAACGACATATGTAGGAAGTACAGTCAAAACCCCGCAGTTGTTCACAACACAGTGCAGTGGATAACAAAGCCGCTTGAAGAGGAAGAAAATGCGTTCATATCGACTAGAAATTCGTATCAAATACATGTACTCAACTGTTCAGTTAGCACGGAGGAAAATACAAAATTGGAATTCAACGAGAGGGACAGCATGATTCTTATTCTGGCTTATTACGCGAATGTTTTGCAGAAAGCACCAGATCAACACGAAGCTAGACTATGCAGTTCAATTTTCGAAAAGTATATCTTCGAGATCAGTGAAAGTATACATGGAAAGTTAAACGAAACTTAGAGAGACTGTTAGGGTAAGTGTGTGAGAACAGTTGACAAATGCTTGAGAACGACTGCAAATTTGACCCTACCAGAAGGCAAGCATCCTCTAGAGGTTGCATTGAAAGGGAGGGACGTGTCAGTGGCTTTTCTGATTCCGCCGTACTCGCACTTGGAAAAGAATTTTGAGTGTTAATGCTCGTAGGCATCACCATCCACGAAGCATATCACCGTAGTATATAGCGATCTCAAGAATTCAAGTGGAACCGAGAGCGTGTTGCGGTGCGAATACCTCATTAAGACATAAAGATATTCAACGGTACGATCGGGTGTCTTGATTCTTACCTAACGACCTGAAATTGTAAGGAAAGATATGCTAAAAGGCGCTGTATCTGAAAACCAATTGTACAATTTCCAAGACCGACTTTCTTTCAACCTTGGCATTGATCATTAGTATAGTTTTCTTGATAAGCAAGCATCACTAGGTTGCTAAGAGCAAGACTTGTTCAAGGCAATGCTGGCTATTTCGGTCGTTTCGCCTTTTTCAGAGCGTGGAAAAGTCAGAGTGATACGCAATCCACTCAGTCAAACACTATCATAACGTCAGTAAATACAACTTAATACGTATGAAGTGCTGAGATATCTGCAAAACTCCGGACCACAGGTGTATGCAGTGGAGAACGAACACGCTCTGTTGTCCTTACCGGGAAGCAGCGCACTTCACCACTACACCATCCGGATCCTTCGCTTCGCATGTATCTCAGCTAGTTCTATCGATCTTTTTGCCATCAGCAATCACCCGTCGACGGGATTGATCTGGGGAGCCAATATCGGCATTGAACCCAGTTAAGCTGAGGCCTCGTTATAATCACAATCTTAACTCTTTTATTTACTGCCTTTTTCTTCTTAATGGCAGGG